AGAGAGAGAGAGAGAGAGAAAGAAAGAGAAGGCGAATCCGCGATTCGCGAGGTAGATGCACGGTCGGGATTTCATCATGCGCGCGTGCAGCAAATCGGACCGTTAAGAAAGATCGGATTTCCCCGGCAAAAAATCCGGGGAAAACAGCGGCTATTCACACGACGCGCATCATATGCGTTTGTAGCTTCTTGTCGGCCTTTTGCAAACACATTCGGCCGAACAGCGCGTATACACACGTTCCTCGCATCTCGGCGATATGTGAGTAACATTTCGCCCGCAGCGCCCAAAACGCGGCGCTATCTTCAAAGGATTTCGCCCAGGATAATGGAATTGCTATTCCGATGCGCAAACAATTATTCCCGCGTATATACAGGTTATAATTTCCTGGATGACGTGCGTTCGTGACGCCTGATGCCCTGCGGGCCGACTCGCGGGCGTTTCTCGTCGGCCGAGAGAAAACGGGATGAGATTACTTTAAAGAAAGCCGGAAGCGTGCGCCGGTCTTTTTTTTTCCCGCCCCGCGTTACGTTTTTTTTTTTTTTCACGAACGAACGCTCCGTTCACAAAGAGCGGAGCGTGCCGATCGTGTAAATTCAAACACACTATTCTCGCTCGAGAGATCGCGTGCGCCGGGAAGAAGTGAAAAGTGAACACGGCGGGCGCGGACGCCCGTTAAAAACGCTCGCTTATTTCGTTCGATTTATTCGCTGTCAATAACGCGCGCGCTCCACCCGCGCGTCAGATCCTTTGGGCGCCGCGATGTAATTTGCAGTAACGCGCGGCGCGAATTGTTTCTTAATTAACTCGCTGATTGTTGCGCAAACACGATCAGCATTAATAACAACAAATGGGTTATTCGTTTCTGACGAACGCGATTTCGCAAAACGAATAAACAAAACGACTCCCGTTCGTTTTTAATCTCGCGATTGCTCGTGCACACCCGCGCAAAATAAAGCTGTCGTGCGCGTCTCGAAAGTTTTCCACGGCGGTCGCTATATAGCTGTAATTTCGCCGTAAACTTCGCGACTTGTGATGCGTAATTTCCCTAACGTCGTAATTCATCGCGGTTTATTTCGCAGCGGGGTGGTCTGATACACCCCCGGCCGCTCGCTAAATTACTATAAATTACTTGATCGACTACCGCGGGCGCGAACAGTATATATACAACAAAACCGTGGGAGTGAACGAGGAAGATGAGGGGGAGGGGGGCAATTATTCGCGAAACTTTGGATAATGGAATGCGGGCGAAGGGTAACTCGCGAATAAAAGAACATTAAACTGTTGGAATAATATAATAACGAAAACGGGTCGGCCTTCTCCGGCCTCCGGATGATCCCGCGGCGTTTTATTTCTCCGGCGAAGCAGCGACCGCGCCGTGAAAAATTATAATTGATATGGACGGATCCGGAAACCGAGGGGGAATAATCCGAAGGCGAACGCCGGCCGGAGAGAGAGAGAGAGAGAGAGAGGTAGACGGGCGGGAAAAGAATCGCCGTTCCGTTCAGGTGGAATACAAAAGTCGGCTGGAGACTTATGAATTAAAGCGAGGATGTCGGTCTTCTTCTTCTTCTTCTACTTCTTCTTCTTGGGCCGCCGCGCGGTTTCGTGAGGAAAAGAAAGCGGTTTTTTTTTTCTTTCACGAAAAGGAGAGAGAATGCAGATCTCTCTCTCTCTGGATATTTATTGTTAATATATGATTGAAAAAGATCGTTTCGCTTTGTTGCGCTTAAATTTGTAGGTACGTGTCGCGGCGGTTACGCGCGTTTTGTCAATTATTCATAAGGTGCGATTGAAATATAGTACTTTGCGGTGGTTAAAAAATAAATTTGATCTTAAGTAAGACAACAGAGCGATTGATGGCGAGATAGAGTGTGAATTGTTGCTGTTAAAGAACTTGTGTTATTTACATGTTGACAGGTGCTAATGACACACGCACACACACACACGCACAGACGTTTATTTTGTTTATTTTGTGCCTTGCAGGTGGCATGGTTGCGCGTCGACACGCAAACTATTTTGACGATAGCGAGCCACGTGATCACGAAGAATCACAGGATCGCGGTGTCCCACAGCGACCACAGAACGTGGTTCCTTCACATACGGGAGGTGCGGGAGTCCGATCGGGGCTGGTACATGTGTCAGATAAACACGGATCCCATGAAAAGCCAGATCGGTTATCTCGAAGTGGTCGGTGAGTAAAATTCACATCCCCGTTAATGGACTCCGACTGTAATTATTCTGATTATCGCGTTTCCGTTTTCACATGGAAAATATTTTCATGCGGGGATTATACACATATATATATGTATGTATACGTACACACCACACATCGGTAGTTTTTTTTTTACATTTTACCGCGCGTCTCTCTTTGTTTGTATATTTTGTGGAATTAAATCGGACGACATCCAATTTGTCATTTTCTTCAATTTATATCTATTATTATTACATATATTCCCCGCCATTCGTTCATTAACGTTTGCTCTGTGATCTGGACTGCGGAGTAAAACGCGCGAGTTCGTTGTTTTCAACAACGAACTGAAAACAAGAGATCGCGCGCGCCGCGCTCTAACTCCCCCCCCCCCCCCGTGCTCGATATCAATTTCCATTCACCGCTCCGTCGCCATTATATTCGCTATCTGGCTGCCAGATATTCAATTAGTACTACAAGAAGCTAATAGCGAACCCGCGCGGCGCGGTACCAGCGCGCGCGCGGTTGAATACCCGCATTACATTCCGCGGATGCGAAGGGAATAAACGCGACTCTATGTTGAAAAGGGGAGGGATGGAGAACCTGGAAATCATCACAAAATCCGACGAAACCAATGCGAACTTTCGGCCGATTCCGAGTTAGTCAGTCCGCGCGGCCTCTTGCACGGTACAACTTACAAAGTGGCTCTTGCCGCGGCCCCGAAGACTACGCCGAGCACTCGCCGTAGAAACTGCAAAGCCTCAGTCGTGCATCGATGCTCGAATGCACTCGCAAGTAGATTATATAGAATGCTAATAGGGACCGCTTTTCATCGGTTTCTGTCGTTAAGGAGACTTCGTTTCGTAGGTAGGTCCCGCGCGCGCGACTCTCTCCTTTTCCTTCCATCCTTCCCGTATCGCAACCCCCCTGTATATATATATCTCCCTCTTTCCCGTTTCGTCCCCTAACCGCGATCTTCTCTCAACCGCGTTCCGTGCTTTTTACCTGAGAGAAGTTTTCCTCCCTAAGCAGTTTCGTTTCGGTTATGCGTCTTTCCTATATTAATGACGAAATTTGCCTTCTCTGGAGAAGAGAGAGAGAGAGAGAGAGAGGAGAGAGAGAAATCGACCGCTATTTATGCTAAAGTCCATGTTAAGGTTTGAATACACCCGGTCTAATCCTTGCGCACATCGTGCACGGGTAAGTGGCAATTTCCATAGATAATGTTACTCGTAATTGTACGGAAATAGGATGATGCGTCGGAGATACAGCGATTGCGCGGTTCTATGGGTGCGCGATCATACAAGGTGCGCACGGGGGAATAGGGCTCAAACTATGCACATTAAATAATGTGGCTTCCGGTTGTATTACGTTCAATGATGTGGCGCTAACGTTATGTAATTCTTTATCGTTTATCCGACCGCGCCGCAATTATTTTCGTCGCATTATACTCACAGATAAACGAGACCTCGCTAAAGTCGTCGTTCTTTTATTATCTCTAGCAATAATGTAAAAAACTTGATTTCGTTTAACATATAGATATGTAGTAGGATTTTTTTTTTTTTTATCAGTGTAAAGTTGTTTTATTGTATCGAGAGGAAAACTTATATTTTCGTTGTGTTAATACACACCGCGAGAGAGAGAGTAAAATCTTTTGTTTGTGTGTTTCTCGCGTGCAATGGCAGAAAAAGAAAACTCTCTCGCGTAATATTACATCGTATATAATATTATATGAGCGAAGTAGAGTACGCCGTAGTTATCGAAGTGAGAGATATATATGTAAGAAAAGTGTCCGTGCTCTTTTCTTGAGATTCTCTTATCGGCGATGCGGGCGATTCAAAACTCGTTATTTCACGGATCTATTCCGTATGCTTCAAAGGAAAAACAAGATCTCCCCTCGGAGACTTTCGTACGGGTTTGCGGAGACTTTTGTGCGCGTGTGTGTGTGCGTGTGCGCGCGCGCGCGCGCGTCATATTTTCCGTAGCGCACTTGGCGCGATACTCGTAAAGTCTATTTGCGTCTGTTTTGTACACGATAATTAAATGCTACCGTAATAATGCCCGGCAAATCGGTTTATAATAAATGATTGAAGCGGGACGATTTTATAAAATAATTGCAGCGAAATCTACTTACATTTATATATATACACGCGCACGATAATTAAATGCCGCGTTTCAATAATGCGAGCTGAATCAATTTGATAAATAATTGAAGCGGCGAAATATACAAAATAACAATCATGCAAATTATTATTATCCAGCTTTTCGCGTATACTATCTTATTATTTTTTGTTGTGTTTGTGCGCGTGGTTGAAAAAGAGTCGCGCGCGCGCGTGCACACAGACACGCACACACACACACACACACACACGTTTTTGTATGTTCTCTCGTTCAAGAGTGTACGCGCGAGAGGATAAGAAGGAACCACTTCAGGACCAGACTGAGGCTACACACGCCCGTCGGTCGCGATGTAGGGTTCGTTGCGCCCGTTGCGTTTGTTGTATACTTTACGGTCTTCCGGCTTGGTATTCCGCCGTTCGTACCGAAATCAAATTGGCGTTCTCGAGATACGACCGGGCTCTCTCGCATCCCATCTGTAGCAATCTAATCCCGCGTTCTGCCGGGAGTCCGCTCCGGACTCGGCGCGGCGCAGTTCTCGCATCCCGACCTGACCTGACCCTCTTTCCCAGGTTCAAACCCGTCGTTCGGGTAACGTCGTATAACCGACCGGCTACTTACGGAACTTCGTCTCCCTCGTGAGATCATTTTGCATCACCCCTCGCCCGCGTTTTCTCGGCACAGCAACGGTAGGTCCTCCGGCAAAACGTATCGTCGTCGCTGCCGCGCGCTTTCTATTTTAACGGCGCTCTCGCGCGCAACTCGTGGGAGTGCTACGTCGTCGCGGTCGTCGCTTAAGAAATCTTCTCCCGTAGCAAAGGTAGGCCGTCGACGAGGTTGGCGAGGGGGTAGATCGGAGAGGAAAAACCGATTCTCCTTCGGGAACTCGCTCGCACGGTCGGAGCACTTCTGGGTTGTAAATAGCGCCGGCGTTCCGCTCGCGCGCGCGCGCGCGCGCCCACGCGACACAGGAAACGAATAGTTTCCGGAAAATGTACTGATTTCATTCAATGTGCAGCTGCGCTTTTTAATTCTTATTTAACATCGAAGCGATATTAAATATAAAAATTTGCTATTTCTGCCGTTTTCGCTGATATTAAAAGTACCCCCGTTCAAATATGTGTCTTCTTGACACATGTAGGGTAACACAATTATATATGTGATAAATTTATAACATGCATATGTGATAAATTTATAACATGCAAGAAAAAGCAAATTTAGCGCTGCAGAGATCAGCAGTATATGTACGTATATATTTCAATTTATATATATAGTATATATATTTATATATATATATATTTATTTATATATGTTTAAAAAAAAGGATATATATATATAGATTGACACGTACGGATGTATTTATGGAATTTCCATGCGCCGCTATTATTATAGCAATTCTGATATGTCGAAATGTATGTGGAACTTTGATATTTGTTAGTTACATTCAGGTCAGCTTTAAGAGAAAACCTCACAAATACACTTGAGAAATCTTCTCTCGTGCAAGAGAGTGTGTGGTAAATCAAAGGTACACCGAAGAGAAAACAGATTTTTGAACTCACGTAATTAGAAACTTTAATTTCCGAGTGGCAAATATTTTTTAATTTCTCTTTCCCCCCCTCCCTCCCCCCCAAAAAACGAGTGTTTGTTTACGAACGTCGCTTTGCTGCTTTTCGTTTCTTAGTTGATTCGAAAAATTCTATTTTACAAGTATAATAGCGAGCAAAGAATATTTATGTTTTTCATAACTGTGAAAAATGCATTTTTTTCTCGGAACGTTTGAAAAACTTGAAGAACGCGCGAAGTAATAAAATTCTGTATTTTATATATTTTGATGTCGCATAAAATATTTGTATAATTAAATGTAATTAAAACGCAAGTGTTTTTTTTTTGTTTTCGAAAACAACGAAAGTACAATACTACAGACAGAGATTTCATATTTTGTAATCCCCATCGTTTCGTAAAATTTTACAATGCTGCAACTCTCGCGAATCGTAAAATCACATTACTCAATAACTGATTCGCCAAATATGAACTGGTGAATGGCGCGTAATTGAACTCCCGGCTTTCATGTGCGCCGATAATACGACTCATCAGAAAATGTTTTCGTATCCCAATTATTGGATTCTGGCAAAGCACCACGTTAATGCTCACATTTCTGTGTGCGAACGCATAGTAACGTGAACGTGCACAGGTGTATTGCGCGCGTGCACGCAAATATGCGCCAAACGCGCGACGCGGTAGTATTGTGGATGCCAGGCTCATCCGGAAACCCACGAGTAAATCTAATCTCCCAGTCCCTGGTAATGTCGTAGACGTGGGAGGAAGGATCTTTCGAGTTATCGAATTCCACGTCATGTCGTCTCGGAGACGTTATCGTTGTTCCATAGATATTGATGATGGCGGCAGTAAGACATGTAGTCTCCGTCTCCTCGAAGCCCCGGCATATCGATATCGTTCGTATAACCGGCAACAATAAAAATGATGCGTTTAAAGACGATATGTAAAAATTCTCATTCCAAACTTGACGGGCATAAAACATTCTTGACGGCGGCAGTCAATTCAACGAACGGAAAAACGACAAAAGGCGTCTCGTGAAAAACCGCATCGTGTTGATGGTTACGAATGAAGCAATTTCTGCCATCCATTGCCGTAAAAATTGCGCTTAACATGCAGTAGTTGGGAGCTGAGTTCGAGCTCGAGCTCGAGCTCGAGAGAAAGAGAGAGAGAAAGAGAGAGAGAGAGAGAGAGAGAGAGAGAGAGAGAGAGAGAGAGAGAGAAAGGAACTCAGAAAAAAGGGAGAGCGTGTCGAGTGGCAGGAGTGGGGGGAGAGGGAAGGTTGGCGGAAAGGAGAGAGAGAAGCACGGGGGTTTCATGAAGGAGGAGAA